GACACAGAGGAAAAACTGAAGAACTGAAGCAGACACAAGAGAACCACTGAAAAGGCAGCGAACAGACAGCAGGCCACCAACTCATTAGGCAGATGTCAGGACGGAGCACTGACCAGGGGCTGACCACACTGCTGTGGCCCCAGGCAATGTAGGGTGCTTTCTCGTCCCGGGCTGGGGAGGCTGTGGCCACATACACCTGGTTATCCACAGCCCTGAGGATGAGGAGGAAGAGGAAGGGTTAGAGAGAGAAAAAACTAAAAGTTTGCAGAACTCCCGTCTGCTTTACCCTTAATCTTCCATCTGGAATGAACATCACAATTCAATTAATAATACAATTAAGGACAATACAAGGGTGTGATGTATATTCAGGTTCTGGATTAGTGGATTGTGTGGAGTCAGAATGTTCTCTTCAGCTTCACGTGTGTTTTTCTCCTGGTGTTCTGGTTTTCTCCCAGCTTCCAAAGACTTGCTTTGTTAACACGTGTCTCTAGCTTGGACACCTACAGAATGTGTGTTGACCCTGTGATGGACTGGTGCCCTTTCCAGCTTTGGCCAAGAGCAGATACTGGCAGGCTGTCCCATGTTAATCCCTTTTTAAAAAATCATGATTTACTCACACCCCTTTTGCCTGATCCGAGATGGTATAGTCCTCAAGATACTAACCTGCCCCTCTGCAGCAGCTCCCAGTGGGCTGGTCCAGTGGTCATGTTAAAAGCTCCTGGATACACCAGCAGATGGCAGCCTGAATTCAGAATGGGAGGGGACACACCAGAGACCAGTGAGAAAACTGCAGGCAACTTTCAGATCATCACCCAAGATTCATTATTCTATCACAGGCTTAGAAATGGCAAACAAGTGTTTAAATGCCAGCAAGTGCTGAATTGTACTGTTACACAACTTTGCTAAAAGTCCAAATGAAATTCTGAGCCGAGGTCTGCACTCCACTGTCCCACTGATGTTAAAACACCAGGCCTGCAGAACCTCCATTTGTTGCGGTCAAGGTTCACATCACCCCCTGTCACAGACAACGAGAATGAGGTGTGCCAACACATCAGCAGAGCATTAGTCCATAACCAGAAAGCTTGCACAAAATATTAAAAACGTAATAAATATTAAACCTGATTATGCTTATATTTAAAGGGAAACCCGTTCCAGGATAGGGTGTGTACATGTCTTTCCTTGTAAAAGCGTAGACTGTGTATGCGAATTAGTTTTGCGACTTCACAAAGAAGAACAGCAATTCTTTTCAGCTTTATGTTGAAACAAACAATGAAGAGTGACAACACAGAGCATGAATTACGGGTATAAATATTGATTAGCTCTCATCCAGTCACAACAGCTCAGGACACAATTCCAGCGCTTCTTGCACTGTATTGGCAGGAGACGTCCTAAATATTCACACACCGAATTAATTTTGACACATTAGATCAGTAGATATAAATCCAAGGGATTACTGCACATGAACCACTGCTGCCTCAAGGAAACATTCCATCTCAACAGAAACAGGTTTGTTCACCTGATTTGCAGAGATAGCGCTGTGTGACCCCAAACTCAGAGTATGTCCACTCTCACCTTTCTGGGTGTAGATCTGGGCCAGCTCAGCAAACCGCATATCGTAGCAGATGCCCACCCCAATCTTACAGAACGCTGGGAATTAGGGCACAAGGGAAGACGACACCAATCAAACACATATCAAGGCAAAGAGCAAATAATTATGGTTTAAAAATGATTTACAGCAGGGCTATGCCACTTGAACCCTCCTAGTTCGCTCTATTCCGGAGTTTTTTTCCACCAGCTCCTAAATTATTTAACTCATAACTAATAGTATCAATATAGTATTTAAGGAGCTGAACGTAGAACACTTCAGGAATGAAAAAGACTGGAAAGCCTGCAGGCGGAGTAGTCCTGATTTAAAAGTAGATATATAGCTTTCTTTCTTGGAGGCAAACTCTGCTCTTAACTTTCGGGAAAAAAAAGACAAATTTAACGTTGCAGTATCCAGCAAGAGTTTATCAAGGTTGGAACGGTGTGAAGGAAATACACTCACGGGTCTCAAACACGGAGAAGCTGCTTCCTGGGCTGAGAGTCTCCGACTCCTGGAAGCGGATTTTCCCAGGAACATCAATGTCAAAAAGGTGGATCTGTTGAGGGAAGGGCAGAAACTGTGAGGGGAATACAGGCTTTTAAAATACAGTTATGAAAGTCGAGAAAGTCCAGGGGATTCCAGGAGGGGTCGACACAACACAGGGTAAGATCAGGGGTTCGAGACTGGATTATAGAACTACCAGGCTGTGACTGGGATCCCCAAAGCAGTGGCACACAATTGGCTGAGCAGTGAAATTAGCTGTCCAGGATCTCTCTGCAGTTCAGTACTGACGATGAAGAGTGTGTGTCAAATACAGACCAGACAGTGGGATGCCAATGTGTATGTGTACTACAGTACTGATGTCTGTGTGTGTAGTAAAGTACCGGCAAGGGGACACCTGTGTATGTGTAG